ATGATGATGAGCAAAATATGCAATTTCGAATCTGTAAAGATTAGCCGTGTGTCCGGAAGCGACTTATGTGCATTTTTTTTGCAGAAAAAATGACTGTTTTATTTAACAGAAGTTCAACTAGTTAATAAGTTATAATCACAGAATTTTAATCTTTTTGTGATTGTAAAAGCCACGAAATTTTAATCTTTTTATGATTGCAAAAGTTCTGGGTAATTATTAATTTTTTTCCGAAATGTTGCTGGCTATGAGAAGTGTTGTCGATGATTCAGATCCTAAGTGTCGGTATCAGATCATTACAGTGGAAACTCGACATAGAACAATAATGGGCTTAAAGGGCAGTCTTCGAAATCGAACTCAATTTTCTCACAATTTAACTTCTGCGTTTCCAAAACAAATTAAAAATTAAGGTTTCTATAACAATAACTAAAAAATCATTTCTGCAGAAAGACGAGCGTACTTCCATTCACTTCCTGAAAAGAGTGGAGAAGTCGAGAAGTTCGAAATAAACTCAAAAATCTATATCTCCGCATTAGGAGGTCTATTAAAAGCACTGAAAATTCACCTGACAAATGCCACGCCAGGGTGACCAAATCATTTCGTCCGTTTTTTCCGTGGGTTCTTTTTCAGAGTGTGACTGCTGTAGAGAGGAAATGTCGAGTCGTATGCCGCCGGTCCTAATATCTGTTTTATTTGCAAAATTTAGTCTTTCAGCCGGTACCCACGTCAGTTCTTCCTTCTTGTTAACTGCTGTTCGCAGTCCACGGCTGTCCATAACTGCTGTTAGGTACATGCTTCGATTAAATTAATTAATCATTTGTTAACTCATTAATTCACTTTTCATAATATTTTGTTTGTACATTCTGTAACTTCTATGCTTCATGCGAGACAAGCGAACTTGATTTCACTCATATATTTGCAAAAGACTATAAAGAAATATAGTACCTCTGAATTCAGGCTCTCCTTGTACTGTTTCAGGACATTTCTTGACTTCCATTAATGCTCCAACACATTTTTGTAGGTTATAGCATTTCCGCCGTCTTATTTTCCTTTCACCAGACCTTCTACAAGGTGACCAGTTGCTCCACTGAGAGAAATGATCCTCCTGAAACAAATTATTTTAGAAAGTTTTTTTGTCTTTAACCAGAGAATTTGAGCTTGCATGTATCTAGAGAATGTGAATTCTTCAGACTTCAGACACTAAAAAAATGACACCTCTTGATTGAAAATAGTCGGAAGTTGAAACAGTTAGCTTAAGATTATTCAAAGATGAATTCTTTTGTTCACACTCTCTGAAGGAAGTTACACCAAAAAGTTTAAAAGGAATAAGTGAATCAAACGCACATCTTCGAATCCAGATAATGTTATAATTTTCAATCGCTTGATTGGTTTCTGTATTTTAGATCCTTCGTGAACTACCACTACTACTGAATTCGTTTTTTCTATATGTTGGTTTTCAACCTGGAATGGTGATGGCCTAACCTGAAAGTTAGGAAAGCCTTGTAATTTGATTAGAACTTGTATCCGAAAGGTTATCCACCGTGCGAAAAAGAAAGAAAGCAACCTCTAAGGGCAAATTTTTTGCCATGTGATTTTCTTCACTTTCTTCTGATGTGAATTCCTTCTTTATTTGCTGGAATAAATACCAATGTTAAAATTCTTTAAAGAGAAAAGAATTTATTCAGGTCAGAGTTATTATTGTTGTGATTGCCTAGATTGCTGTTTTCTTAGGTAAACGTCATTCCATCCAAAATTTAAACATTATTTAACCAAAGATCCATTTCCAAGCCTCTATAAATTATTGTAAATATTAGAATTTGTGATAGGTATCATGTTTAATCCCTATTTACTGCATTAAATTGATGTGATATATGTGATATCAAGCATTCAGATCCAAAATCATGACAGTAGTAATAGTGGCCGAGAGTGACTGAGAATTAACCTGTAATTTTGTTTGTTTTAGTGATTTGAGACCTTTGTTGGAGTTGAAGGTACTGCTATCGGTTGGCAATTTTTTTAAATTCCGCTTCAACATTTCCATAATTTCTTCAGTGGTGCTTGCTGTTGTTTTATCGAATGAGGCAAGTTTTCCGGAATCTGTCCCAAATGAGTTTTCGCTTTCGCCTTCATAGCTATCATTGCGAATGCGATCATTCAAATCGTTTTGTTTTTTCAACGTGTTTTCTTCAATGGATGAATTGACGACACCCGTGTTTTTTAGTTCCTCCTCTTCCTTTATTTCTTCATTGGTAGTTGTTGTTGAACTTATTGCTTCTGTTTCAACATTAACATCTTCGGTATGTTCGTCTGCTGAGGTAGGTGATAATTCCGTAGCTAAAAGGAAAGATGAAAAACTTATGTGATAATCATATTGGAAATGTTAACTTGACGATAATATTTGCAAAGAAATTTTACTACTTTAGAATACAGTGCTTCAAAATGCATCCATCGATCGTAGTCTAACAGGGTAACTAACCTCTTTATAAGTAAAATTATTGCTTAAAATAGAATTACATTTATATTATTCTAAAAAAATGTATTGTTTAGGATGTCCGTAACCTGCTGCTGTCGAGTTTTCCAATTCTTTTTGTCGTGCTAATATTGCTGGACAACCGTTTTGTATGTAAATGACCTTATCACTTTCTTCTCGGGCAAATGATGTTGGCTGAGTCATGGCTGATTCCGTGTTTGTTATGCATTCACCTTCCGTGTAGAAATACATTGCGGACTGAAATTTATTCCAAGTGTTAGCTTATGAGACATCATTGTCTTAGAAATGTCATTTTGATAACCTATGCGTTAATCCAATCAATCATTAGCTTAAATGTTCTATCATCGATCGGCACACAACGAAAGGCATTTTCCTTGCTTGAAAATTTTCAGGACATTCAATTTTTGAACGACATACTCTACACTGAAAATGTTCGGTGAGGCATTGCTCGATACATTCTTCAATAGATCTTGCCATTGAAACATTTTTTGCATATCCGATGATGACTGATTGCTCTACTTTCAGGAACCGGCTGTCTGCACATTCACTCGGTGCATCTTCTGTAATCTTTTCTTATCAGCTTAAACTGTATCCACCTTTTTTTGCTCATTTCCACTTCACTCATATCAGTTAATGTTGCCAAATGCCATTCAGTCTGTGTAGAAAGAATTGCGTGTATAAATGAGAATGGATGAGTTTTGTTGAATTCTTTCGCATTTTTGCGAAAAAAGTAATTATCGAACACACGCTCAAAGTTTCAAACTTTGAAATCACTTAGAATAATTGTTTCATACTGCGTCCTACATTCTTTATTCACCAACTGCCCATGTTCTTAACTTTTTTAAAGTTTTCAAATAGTAAAATTTAGTTAAATTAAATCTTACAAAATCTGGTTATCGTAAATAGCTGCAAAATGAGGTGTTGGAAAAAAAAGAATGAAACTTAAAGATCACTTAGGCAAAATTTCTCGAAAAGACGTTGTCCTGGAGCAATCACTGTTTTTAAGTCACCATCCGGATAACTTCTGGATCGGAATATTGTGCATGTAAAGGTTGCATGGTCATAAACTGCGGAGGCACACAAGATTGTTCGACCATTGCTATCCTAACAAAAATATTTATGAATATTTTGCCCAAAATACTGAGAGAAGTGTTTGGAATGATATAAAATTTAATAGAAGACATGAGTGAATTGATTGGAAGACTTACTCTGTTACTACTACACATCCTTAAGCAAACTTCCTCGGTCACATCCTCGTAGATTAAGGAACTGCTCGATACAAGGCATGTATTATCGGATACAGTGAAAGCAGTCAAACGATTTTCGCAAAACACTAAATACAAGGAGTCAATTAAATTCACCAATCTTCATTATTTCATTGTATGCCATGACTGGTTTCCGGAAGTTTCAAAGTGGTGAAGAAAGTTATCTGAGAAGATAAGTTAATTGAATATTATTTTCAGTGCATGTATTTTGAAAACATATTCAACGTGTCCGGCCAATCATTTATAGAAAAATTAAATTTATCTAACCAACACTACTTAGAGTGAGCGAGAGAAGGAGATTCATGGGAACATAAAGATGGGTAAGAGTCGCTACTACCATCATTCAACGGAATCTCTCAAAATGAATTGAAATTTGAAATCCATTTGGTGATTTTAGAGATAATAAATTCATTTGCATATCTCACCTGCAATAGGAAATGAAGAATGCTTTTTCAAGTTTTCTGAATCTTCAATTGTTCTGTCAGCATGAATTGAATTGAATGAGAAAAAAAGAGCAAAGGAAATGGAACCCAACACGTGAAAACACTGCATTAGCGATATGAATAAGTAGTTGGACAAACTTTGAACACGGAAGAAATCTTTGACGTGAAGGGGTAAAAAGCTTTGAATATTGTGCTTTAGATGTGTACACAAATACAGGTGGAAACAAAACAAGTGTCAAGAAATCGTAGAGAAGGGATTAAATGATAATGGGCAAAGCCTTAAACAGAGACATAGATGTACATTCCATTTTTACCACTCCTACAACACAATGTTCTGGGTCATCACCTAAATTTCTGCGACAGAATTTTGAATCGAACTGATTTTGAAATGAATTGAAATCACAACAACGATCTCCATCCGGCAGTTTTCTCATACCCTTTTGCATTCCACTTTCGGATATACGTGATCCGGACTATTCCTACAACTGCAGTTACGACTCCGACTGCCAAATATTATCATTTCCCTTGCTTGTCCACTGCCATCTCAGATATTGTCAGTACGGAAGCAGAGACCACACTCGAAAATATATTACAACATTAATGATTCCTAATTCCGTCATTACACAGTTTGCAAATTCATTTGGGAAAATCTGCAAATGTTCACATTTCGGCAATAGTTAAAACTTATCGATTAAATTGTTAAATTATTCAAATATTTTCTGTCCTTATCTTCAAAAATGTCAAAGGAAGAAAAGGGATAATATTTGGAATGAAAATGAATAAGATAAGACCGGAGTTGTTGGCTAATGCCATGAAAAGAATTGATTTAAATAATGTGAACTTCAGTAAGAATCTACTTTTGAGGGATCTGATACACTCCAGCAAGCGGTAAAAGGATGTGAAGTGTCTGCTGTTTCGTCGACAGTGCTTATTGCAATGACTGCTATTACTATTGCTACTACTGTTGCTAACTTTTAATTAACCAAAATTCGACGTTGTCATCCAGTTTTATTATACTCATGACAAGTATGCAAAGTTTTCTGTAAAAATGAGAATAATTGGCAGATAACCAGTTTTCACAACAGTAATCATTAATCAACTATCTTCACTTTCTTCCCGTAGCGTTTCCACAGTTAATATTAAATAAGCAACATATATCGGTTTCTAAAAGTGCTGCTTGTGCAACAATGTTTGCTCGTAAAGCGACATGGCGAGAGCAGTTTTTATGCAAAGACTGATGTTCATGGATTGAAATAGAAGCTTGCTTTGTAGGACACTTCCAAATATTTAGTGATGCGGTGCAGACAGCTTATTTTACGCATAAATTTTGCTGAACTGTGGAATCCAAGGACAGCTGCTATTGACTTAACAAATTCTAATAATGTTGTCGTTCTTATCAATGATATTATCATCCAGTACAGTATTATGAACGGATACTAATGGATGGACGCCAAAAGCATATCCGGACCACGCTTGAATTTCACACATTGTCACACGTGACCTGGATCTGCACTTTGTGATCCGGATCATGTCCTTACTGACCAATGGCTACTAGATATCAGCAAGAACATTAACTTACAGAATAACCGTATGTCCTATTCCTAAATCTTATTGGTGCTTTCAAGCAAGCCATATCTTTGTAAATTTTATGAAATTTCCTATCGCGGCTGTAAATATAATATCTCACTGTTTTAGTGCTGAAAGAATTCGACCATTTCTACAATGAGAACTCACTAGGGAAAACAATACTAAACCGCCACAAATATATGTTATTCTAGCGAAGCGTATTCAAACACAACACAGCTGTGAGTAGTGAAGAAGATACCTTGGTGGTCTATTTCATTAACTTCCAAAATTTTTCCACACAAATTGTCAATCTCAATTAGAGTTGCAATTCAGGGAAAAGTAAAAGTATTTAAAAATCGAACGCTTTCATTATTTAGGCAAACTTTGGCGGCGAAATTGCCAAAGAATTTTGCAGCAACTTTATCATTGTTCTAGGTGTGGCAGATGCTAAAAAGGTGTTCATACGAGTACGCTTTTTTTCGCTTTTTATTTTCAAAAAATGTTGCTTTCACAAAAAAAGCTAGTTAACGGAGGAAGACAAAAAGTAATCTGAATGTTTTTCAAAATGAAAAGTGAAAAAAAAAATCATTGGTAGATTGGACAAGACTTAGAGCTACCTGGTAATTTCCTAAATAGCACGTTGGAAAAGTACAATGACTTATTCAATGCAAAGAATTATTTGGAATGTTTTAATAATGTTTTCACTGAATTGGCCCAAAAAGTTATTAATCATTTTAATGTAAGCTTAGCACTTTAGAGTTTGCATTGATCTACTGAAATCTTAGAATTATTTTTTAAACCTTTTTCTGTACACCGAATCTAACAACAAATCGACCGCGCTCATTCCGTATAGGTATTTGAAAAAATCTGACATCATAATGAGTTGCTGAATTAGACGATTTCCGTCCATGAAAGGTTCTTGCGCAAGCTAACGGAACATGCAACGTGTTATTTATCTAATCCAGTTTTCTGTTTTCATTTGCTAATTGACGGTGAACTGCGTGAATATCTTGCGCTCGTGTCATTTTAGAGACAGATAATAACACAAAAGGTCATTACCGAAATCATATTGACTGAAATCGAAAAGATGAAAGATCCGCCGGAATCGGTAGAAGCTTCCGTCCTCAAACGGTGTGCTTCCATTCAGGATAGTATGATAATCGCAACACGGTATGCTTGAATTTTCGTTTTTACCAAAATAAATACATTCATCCGAGGAGTGATAATGAATGGAAAATTGAGAGAATTTCCCGATATCTAAAGTCTCTTTTTCCTTTTTTCAATTTCCGTAAAAATTCGAATTCGCTGTTGGTGAAATTTGAAGTGGAATGAATTTTGAGGAAGTCAGAGGAGTTTGAGAAGCGTATTTCAGATGGATTTATGTCGCCACTTCCATGCTTTTATGATATTACTCGTAATAATGTGAACGGAAAATTTGTGGAAAAGAAATTGTGGATAGGGCAGAAAATGAGAGAAGGAACGAAACTACACAGCAACAACCGCTGATTTTATCATTAAACATCGAATTTTCTAGAGTTTTACGGACATTTTTTGGACAGAGAAGGGCAACTTTGCACAATGGCTGCCTAATAGGAGCGAATAAAGCACGAAAATGGATCATTTGTTGTGACCAGCCTCATCTTGCAGTCCAGCATCGCTTGGCTCCGCTGTTCCTATCGCGTCTTTTCTGACACTCTAACTGAGATTTTGCAGGACATTAAAGCAGTAGCCACTACTCCGAAACA